CTGTAATTTGTGTATTTGTTACAGTAACTGTGCCATACAACTCCTCTGTGCATGGTTTACACTCCAAAACCAGGTTGCCGTGAACTGAATAATTCAATGTTGAAGAGGGAAACGTTAAAGAGACATTTCTCACGATAACAATGAAATTGCAAACAGTTGCATCATGGCACAACACTGTTTTACTCCTTCTAATCTTACAATACAACATTATATATGTCTGCGAAATATGTGTCCTTGCACAAGTGCTTCAGAGCTGTTGCAAGCTGCTGTTGCCCTTAGTACTTTCAGCAGTTCGTCGAGTGGTTTGAAGTATTTAAAAAACTAATTTTAACATTTTTGTACACATTTTCTGTTTTGAATGACTCAAAAGAAGTTTTTTTTCCCCAAGTTAGAAATTAGTGGGTGGTTTCATGACACATTCAAAGGTCTGCCTTGGTTTAAAAAAGCATTGAGAAATGACTGGTGGAATACAAAATAAACTAAAAAGCACAAAAAAACCCCGTTCACTAAGCATTTTCATGGCAGCTGCTTTTTCACCACAAATTTATAGGTCAGCCATTTGTGTGCTCGCTTGGCTTGTGAGAATTAATGCCACTGAAAACTGCCAAGGGGACAAATGTAATTGTGGTGTAGGTGTAGAAACCCAAGTACACATTAATGCATTTCAGCACTTACTAAAACTACCAAAATGCGTGTTATTATCTCTGAACTGCTCATTTTGTGTAAGTAATCACATACAATGATCGTCATGTCGTCATTAATCTCAGAATAATTCAGCATCTACATGTAATGACCTGAAATTGAAATGAGAAAACATTTGCTGCAGGACTTCTGCAGAGCAGGTTTGTGTCATTATAGAACAAAGAGATTGTGCAACAAAGGGCAGACAAAACGCTGCAAAGAGCTTGCAGTAGATTTGTGGGAGTGACAATAATGAGTAGTGTCTTTCTTGTATTAAGAGTGACAAGATCACCCTATCACGAGCTGAAATCTTGGCAGGAAGTTCAAGGACTGCCTTGTTTGCAAGCATAAGGAGAAAATACAGTGGATGCTTTTTTTTTGGGAAGGCGCATTCTCACTTAATAATTTATTTTCCAATTTCTTGTTGGACAAAAACCTTGGTCTCTAGCGTGTTTATCATCCAGGGCAAGGGAGAGACACAGGCTGCTAGAACCGAACGGGGAATGCACTTACTGTTAATAACAATGCCTGGAGGTGGGATGTAGAAAATGATGGTCTATTCCAAATCTGTTCTGCAGCCTGAGGGCATTCAGAACATTCCTGTAACTATTGTAAAAGTAGTAAAAGTTTAGCTTTTTACATACTGGTACAGTGTATCTGTTTGGGAGATTAGACTGAATACTTTTTTTTTTGCATCTAACATCGTGTGTAACATCTGAATTTTCTCTCGTCCATATGCAGATGGTTTTTTTATTGCCTATAATTGCTGACTATAGTGTTTATTACCTGCATCCTGGTACTTTCCCATAACCATATGAGCCATATGTTTAGAATTGCATAGAAACTCTTAAATTACATGAATTATGATCAAAAACATTGTAAGGCTTTTGATTCTAAAACCTATGGAGACCCAAAGTTTTCAATATTGTGAATGGTATTTCAACCTGCTTTTTTTTTACAATAACATTTTTTATTGCAGATAGTTTTTTTTATCTAATTCCAGCAGGGCTCCAACAAACAATTGCCAATAATTAAATCAATTGTAGGTTCACTATACATAAAAACAATAGTGAAAATGCCCATCACAATTTGAAAGCCCGAGGCGATGTCATCAAATGTCTTGTTATATGACCAACAGTTAAAAATACGAAAAGTCAATCGATAATGATGTGATGAGAAGGAAAAGCAGTAAATTCTCCAATCTGCAAAATCAGATGATTTAAATGATTAATCAACTTTCAAAGTAGTTGCCTGTTAATTCTCTGTTGATCAACTAATCAATTAATCAACTCAGCTTTAACTTCCAGTGAATCACATTTCATTTTACCGAGCTGTTTTGTAAATGTATTTGGTTGTTTCACAATTTCAGGATCACACCATGTAGTTAGTTTTGAAACTTTTTGTGTCTCCATATACAACACTGCAGATTTTAAATTACAGAATATGAACACCGTACTCATCTTTTAACATAAAGTCAATATTCAGGTTTCATTTCTAACATGCAGTAATCATTTTGAATATATGTATCTAACCTAATCAGTACGATTTTAACAAGTGCTGGCCAGAGCAGCGAAGAGATGCTTTATATTGTAGGTGTGGCCTCAGCTTCTCTTAACTTTCTCTCTCATCCTCTCTCTCTTTTCTGTCAAACTCTGTCACATACACCCACCCACACGTCCCAATTTCATCTCGTCTCCCTCCTTCTTATTCTAGTGTCCTCTTTCTCCACCTCATCTTTCATCCCCCTCTCTCACAGACAATTTCTGCCTGCCTCTTTTTTTTATTAACTTCCTCCTCCTCACCACCCCATCTCCAACCTCCCTTCTCATTTCTCTCTCTCTCCCTCCCTCCCTCCCTCTCCCCCCCTCTGTCTTTTGACTGGCTCTCTCTGGGGGCGGATGTGTCTCTGTGGCTCTCTGCAGATCTGGAAAGGACATCCTCTCAGTTTAATTCAAGTCAACCCCGGTCTCCTGGTGCTCCAAGACGCAGCATGTGTGACAGCTCTACAGAGACAGCCAGAAGGAACAGACAAGTCTCATCTGCATATACGTGTGTGTGTGTGACAAAAAAAGAGAGAGAGAGGGGGGGGGCGGGGGCACCGTGTGTTTCAGCCAGGCATCTTCCAACAATTCCCTGCTGACTGAAAGAGTTAATTTCACCCTGGCAGCAATCATAGCCGTCTATAAATCTATGATGAGAGGCCGCTATCTTGATTACTCAGTGCTAATTCAGCTCACACCAATTAAGGAGGTTTGGAGTGCTATCTAAATTATTACATAACATATGCTATGTGCTCTAAGCCTGTTGGAGAGAAATACAACTATGATCATGGAGACGCTATGGAACGGTGCCTATTCTCACATGTTGAAGCCACACATGAGCACCCACCTAGAGTCAGGCTGCCTGTGGGAATAGTGCATGTACGAACAGTTAATGTCATGGAACATGGTTATATACATGGCAATAAAATAAAGCCCAATAAAACAAAGCCCAATAAAAACAACTGTGAAATGTGAAAACAGAGTTAAATCAATATCTCTCTGCTGCAGTCTCAGCAAAAATAGGTAACCTTAAAAAAAGAGAAAAGGAAAATGTAAGATTCATTGCAGGGCTGTTAAATGTCATTACCCTGTGAGTTAATGCTGTTAATTTTTGTATATGCTCTCAAAGACAATGCTAATATGCTGATGCATGCTAACATTTGCTAATTAGCACTAAACACAAAGTATAGCTGAGGCTGACGGGATGTCATTAGTTATATTTATAATTCACAATATTCAGTCATAAATTAAAGACAGACTAAAATTTACCTGATGATGGCACTATAGGTGATCACCAAAGACAGTAGGATACATCCTCTGGGAACCATGAATGTGTGTAAAAGCTTTTGTTCCAATCCATCATGTAGATGTTGAGATATTTCATGGGTTGAGTGACTTCGAACTACTGGCGGCGCTAGATGAAAAGTCATAAGGATTTATACTCTGTGAATCATCTGTACAACATTTCATGGGAAGTTTTTCACTTGTTATCGAGACATCTCACGAGAAGCCAAAATGTCAACCTCATGAGGAGGTTAGAGGAAAAGTCTGAGATCAAAGTCAGGAGGATTTGTTCTTGGGTGACGATGAATGTCTGTAAAGAATACTGCGTGCTGCATATTATATATATATATATATATATATATATATATATATATATATATATTAGTATATCCAAGAACTACAGTGCATCTATGTCCTGACTTTTAACAAAAGCACAATTTTCATCTCATTGTTATGCTTTTGTATTGTCTGTGAGAAAGTGGTGTAGTATAGAAAAGTTGAATATTTGGTGCAGTGTGAAACATTGCTGTGGACCAGTGGTGTGATCCCAGGGCACCTTGGCTTATGTAAGACGTATATATCTGTGTGCTAACCTGTCTTATATCAGCTGTGTTTGTTCGCACTGCGAAAAAAAGCAATATGAGAGTATAAGGTTTAGATTCATCTTACCCTAGGCTTTCCAATAAGAAATCATGATATTTTCTTCTCTTTGGTAGTGAGGAGACAACAGAGCCTACAAGCGATTTAACAGCCAAGCCTCTCTTACCCCACCCCCACCTCACTATCTCATTATTCGCTGCCTCCACACCTTAAGATTATTTCCTCGGATGTGTCATCAGCAGCGTCGGATCTTGAGCTCTCACACCTTCCCCTCTCCCTGCCTTCCTCTCGTCTCCCAATCTTCTCCCCTATGCTCCCGTGCACTGTGCCCACATATATATCAACCTCTAATAATATCGGAGGCCAGGGAGTATGTAGCCGGAGTAAGTGGATCTGTCAGATCATTTTGCCCCTGTCTTCCACCTAATTCCTCGCCTGAAAATGGACTGTATATTGGACAAGCAGCAAGACAGAAAGTAGGAAGACATCCTTGGTAGAGGGAGACAGAGAGTGAGAAGTGGGAGGAGGTTTCACCTACATCCTCTTTTTACCTTAAACCACATCCTTTGATGCTCACAGAGTTTTAATTTTAGCTGCCTTGTAGGAAAATATAAGAAATATAAATAAGGCATCCGTGCTTGTGACATTAAAAAAAAGGAACAAAGCAAGATCGTCAAGGTACATATATATTTGAAAAAACATCTTTGGATATAAATACACTGCTCCTAACAAAGGAATTAAAAATTTGCATAGATCCTTAGATGGAATACTGGTTATGAACTTCTTAATTGCTGTACTAGGAAAACATCAAATGCATATGAATGCGTGGCACAGTCCTGGCCAGTTGTATGGAAATGCGTACCGCCACAACAATGACAACAATAGGTTACTCACAAGCAGTCCTTTGCCCGTCTGCAGCAAGCACAGGCCCCTCCTCCAGTGTATTCCTTTCCTCCTCGTGTCGTCGGATACTGTCACAACTCTTTGTCTCAAGCCGGCCTTAATTGGTGCCGCCTGGCGAGCAAAGATGTGTGCAGTTGAAAGTGGTCTAAGGCAGGGGGGAAGCTGTGACCTCCAAACTCTCCCAACAGTTTCACGTCCTCAGGGCCGGCCCCTGGAGAAACAAGAGCACGAGAGAGATGCGAGTAAGAATGGGCCTCCTCTTCCCAATACAATGAGGGGCATTGAAGAAAGGGAATGAGCAGGATGGCAGCTGGGAGGAGACGCTGCCATACTAGAATGGCAGACGGGTCATTCCCAGTGCCTCGGTGACGCGATTTGTGTTTGCATCTGGACAGCTGTCAGGAGAGTTAATCATTGTGTGTGTGCGTGTTTCTCTGAGGACACTGGGGAGGTACAGTTACAAGCTGCTTGACAGACAGGAAATTGATGAGATTTTTGTTTTGGCCTCCATTGGGTGTGCCTATTAGGACTACACCCATGTAGCTGTCTTCAGCTCCGTAGTTATTAAAGTATTTCACATATTCGTCATACAGAATAAAAACAACATGGGTAGCCTTTTTAAATATATATATATATATATATATATATATATATATATATATATATATATATAATGAAAAAAAGTATGTATGTGTTATTAATTAGTTTATTTTACCTGCATCCTGGTGGAAAATGACAGAACAGCAAAGAAAAAACTTGCTGAAATATGACCAGATGCCCATCTATACACAAATTTGACAATGTATTCAGCCTGCCAGTTATTAATAGCCTCCTTCGTCTTACACGTGCCCTCTAGGGAGTGTCATCTCAAAACGTCCATTTGGAAGAAATAAGACAAACACCAGATGCACTTCTCACTCACTCCACCACAATTTTTCCTCCCCCAGCTGTCGCGCTATACATTATTGATGAGACTTCCTCTGTCCGCCTCTTCTGCCACAGTTTTGGTTGTGCTCGCCTGTGGGCAGCCGCTGCGGCTGCAGAGGAGGACCAGCTGATTCAACGAGCGGAGAAATGAGACAAGGGTCGGACACATTAACAGCCGATTTGACAAGATGCGATGCAGAGGGCACGTAGTGTCGCAGGTTTGTTATTGGTCTAATCTAAATTCAATAGGGTTGTCATAAGGGAAGAAAGTAATTATCTGAAAACAATGGGGAATACCCCTTCTGTAGATCCAGCTGACTCGCTGATTCTTGACCTGAACCAGAGGATTGTAATTCAAATTACTGGCGATGGACCAATGAAGCATCCAATACCAAAATGGCAACATCTGCTGGCCAAACCCTTGGTATTGCATTGCCTGTGACCACGAAGGTCAACACAGCTCGGGTCAAAGTTCAACAAATTAGAATTTTTGCCGCACTCTTGATCCTCTGTGCACAGCAGACATCTATACAAAGCCGTTGCAACACGCACAATAATTGAGGAGACGCGTGCAAAAGCTGTTTTTCACAAGTGACAATTATAAGATGTAAGCAAATACTAGAAAATAGTGTCAGAATCACCAGAAAAGAAGAGTCACCATGTACACAAACACACATGTCATTTAGAGAGCAATATTTACTTGAAATGAAATGCATTTTAAATTGATGTGATTAATATTTCAGTGATGTTGACTAAAATCTTGAAATGGTCTTCATCTTAAATGTAAAACTGTGTATTAAGTGATCTCCAGTATGCTTCGGGTATGATTTCACACATATACCACAGAGACATACACACTCCTCCACCATCACACCATGTTTGTTTTGCTCTGACATGATGGAGATTGAAAGACCTGTTCCAACCTACACCTCCTGCATGGCAGGGAACAATACATCACTGCATCCCCCCTCATGGTTAGAGGCTCAAAGCACGAAACTGTGTCAGGTTAAATAAAAAAAATCAGAGATGTCTTATATAAACAGAATTGTGGGCCGTGCATAAAAATCGACATAAAACAAAACAGTATCCGCATGAAAGTATTTAACGCACACAAAACAGCACAGAATATAATACTAACAGACCAGATTTTAAGTCAGAGAAACTCAAAAAAAGTGTGTTTTTCAAAACAGTTAAAGGACACCGAGTTGGCCAGCAGGTCATTTCAGTGCCGAGGGACTGTGATGGAAAAAGTTCAAACAGCAATAATTGTGAGCTTAGACTGTAGAGCGACCAAAGGAGGCCAAGGATCTCAAGCTGTGCCTCTGCTCATTGGGGGTTAATAGCTCAGAGATAAAACCAGGCACCAGCCCAAAATGTGTCTTTTGTGCCACGCGTAGCTATGGTTACTAAGCTGAATATAAATCGGCTGCTGATGGGAGGTGTGATACGGTTTGAGCAAAGGATAGGGATAGTTTTCAAGATACGTTTTTTAAATGAGGATGGATATTAAGTCATTTAAATGTTTAAATCCAGACTGATACGTTCGCTCACTTACTCCAAAACCTCCACACCTGCCTGTCTGCCTTCGGGCCGTTTGTGGCTCATTTGTATAATAACATCAATATTCATGAGCTACAAATGGGAGTGGCCCCCTCTATTCAAAAAGACGGCTTAAAGCAGAAGTCTCTATCTACAAACCTAACTGAGACCTTAAAAGGGAAGATTTGTTTTTCTTAATTAAACAGCAAAAACACACAAGTGACTGAAGATACTCCCAACTCATTTGTTCTTAAACAATTAATTTTTTTATATTGATAATCCCCGTGATTCAGTTTTCTCCATGGTACTGTGATGTATTAAATAAATGTGTCCAGCAACAGGGTGATACATTACATGTGTTTTTAACATCTGCGATGCACTCAGCAACTCCTTCACGACTCGAATGGAGTCACAGCACAAACCCCGGATTTCAGAGCGTGTCGTCCGCAGCAGGCGTCTCCATTCTGTCACGTTCTGCTCTATGACCTTACACTTACACTTAAACACACACACACACACACACACACTTCCACACTTCCAGACAAGCTCATACTGTGCGGCGAGCTGTGGCTCTGACGTGGGCTGACCACTGCGGCCGCGATCATTCTGTGCGTCTGACAGTGACGGATGGAGGGCAAAACATGAAGACGGAGGATTGGATGGAGGGAGCAGAGAGAGTGAGAGAGACCAGACGAGGTGTTGTTGGTATTGATTGACTTCAAACCTGCTAATGCAACCCATCAGAATAGAGACGGTGTTCTGTATGTGGGCTACACACAAACGCACCATCTAGAATCAATGCTTCTTCGTGCAGAGGTTGTCTTGCAGGAAGAACTCACAAAATACAATAAGGTGTAAAAATAGGACACTTCTCCTTTATGAAGTTTTCATTGGGATTTATATTTATATATGTACTGACAGCTGCAACGTTTTTGATATATTTTCTAATCTAACTCAGGGTCTGGAGTAGAAGCCGTAAGAGCCCTGCAGGGACAATCCTTTCTAATTGTGCTTCCACCTGATGAACCGACGGGGGCCATGTGCAGGCCATCGGGATAAAACACAGGCACACACTGTTATTATGGATCAACAACAATATATAGTTCAGTGCACATACAGGCTCACTTTCCCGAGGCAAGAAAGGCAAGAGAGAATCACATTATTATTTTTGCAGAATTCACTATAGTTACTGCTTTTATGTGTCTCTTTGTATCCGTGGAGGGTCAGACGTTTGCACTGAAATTCTCCAGACGTATAATAATCCCATCACTGATAGTAATCTTCTTCTTTTAAAGTATGAGTGATCGCCGTTGAGGAATAATATCGTCAAGTGGAAAATAACCTGCTTAGAAAAAAAAAACAAAGCCTCTTCTCTGCTGAATCTTTGATGGTGCGTCAGATAATGCCAGACCTGGTGGCCTTTTTTCATTCTGAAGACATCTGTCATTTAAGTGTAAATTGCCAGGTTTGTCATGAAAGAGAATTCATCATGCCTTTGAGTATGGCTCTATGATTAATTCAGGCACGTCAGTTGGTGAGTAAATGCTTCTTTATTCTCGTGTAAGTGGTCAATATTAATAATGCACACGCGGGTCTAAGTTCAGCATCCGTCTTGGCAAAGTTCAGCACGGGAGGTTTCACCAGCTGGGCACGGCACGCTTGTCACCACATTCTTCTTCTTTCTTCTTCTCTCTATTCTACCGCGGGCTCGCCACACCATCCTTTCTCTCTCTTTCTCTCCCTGTCCCTGAAAGGCGCCATGCGGCTCTGACGCCTATTCTGATAGAAAGATGTGGCCCATCAGCAGTAATTGGAGGAGCTGCGGTGGTTGGGTTTCTCTAGGAGGCGGCGGCGTGATCGATCTCATGGATGGTGGAGGTGGGCAGGCAGGCTGACAGCGCTGCATCCCCCACCGCTCCTGACAGCTCAATGAAGGCCAAGCCGCAGAGCACTGGATGTCCTTTTACAAGAACAATCATCACACGTTCAGGTCACCCTCGTGCCCGTAGAACTCCCAGCCATCCAGTTAAATTCATAATAACCCATCGAGTCGATTATCAGCAGGGTAGAAGCTCGTTCAATTTAATGTTAGCCTGTCATCACACTCACATTAAAGAATAAAGGAAATGTCAGAGGCCTAATAGCGATGATGTGGTGTAATTATCTCCAAGGTGAATTATTTGAAAGATTTTACAGCGATAATCTCCCGGCGCCCTCATACATTCTGCGAGGTACACAATTTAATTGCGCACTGTGCGTGATGACAAAATGAAATAGCACGAGAGGCAGATGATGGATGCCGCGGAGACTTCACACGAGCAGGATCATTTGCAAGACACAGGCCGGTGTCAGTGCCGCGCTTCCTCATCACGGCTTTGGAGAACCGTCTTTGTTTGTCCTCCTGTTTACGGTTCCTCTCAAGACCGAAACTGTGCTGAGCTGAGCCTGACCATCAGTTGCCATGGCGACGCATGGCAGCTGGGACTGATGGCGTGTGAGGAGAAACCTCAGCACAGTTTAGCTCAGAAGAACTATTTATTCACCTTGCAGGGTCTTTATCCTCACCACTGCCGGACCTCGTGTTGCCTATTGTGTTAAGAGAGACCAGCTGGCAAAATTACAAAAAGTGGCTTTGTTCGGCTCTGTTGAATAATGGAGGAGATGTCCTACATAAAACTGGCCACGATGCTGTTGTGTCCTACATAGTTCTCGTGTTATGGCCGCAAACCTTACTCTCCACAAAGT